CACACACACACACACACACACACACTGCTCTCTAATAGGACAGACCTCTGTCCTTATCTTCCCCGTCGTTCTATAATGGATGGCCATTCACACAAAGGTCACATACACACTCTGTCAACACTCAGGCACCAGAGACGTCCCTCTGGCAAGTGTGTCACGCACAGAAGTATACACTAAATACACACTAAAACACAAGAGAATGGCCTCCTATAAAACAGACCAATAAAACAAAGAGACTTCAAAAGCAAAATTACGGCACTTCAGATTGTTTGTCAGCGAGAGCACTTTTTCAGTCGCGCAATTACATGTCATTACCCACATTTTGATTGGACAATAAAATGGACTGGCTAAGTTTGGAGTAACTATATAAAAGGCTTAAAACTGGAAGACAGAGATATCTGGCATTACGTAAAGAACATGGTGTTTGCAAAATTTTGTGAAACAAGTTTATTGTTTTAGAAAACCCATAATTTAGGGATTTTATACGAAAAGTAACCTGCTCAACTGCTTGACAAAGACGGCATGTTGTTAATTCCTGATCACAACTGTGTTTGAGAAAGAAATTTTTAGGGTTTATTTCTGTTCTCTTAACTTTCTAGCTTGAGCCAGAATACTCATATGAAAGACCTGAACCTGAAATGGTTTGGGGAATATAATTGTCATTCCTGTGTTGATGTATTTGGGGGCCAAGCGTTAGTTTTCTTATTTGTCTTCCCTTGCCATGTGAGTCTATTGCAGCGCTTAGGAAAATGGTGAATTTTGGCACACTTATTAGGATGGACATGAATAGACCACTGGCCAACTTTGAGGTCTCTAGAACCAACTGTACAGCGCCACCATCAATTCAAATATTTACTTTTCTTTTGGTAAAATATTTTGATCGCTTTGTCCTGGAAATGAAAATGTATGTTTTAATTTCAGGTATGCTTCATTAGCACTATAATTTGAGGGTATCTGCAAAATTTACTGACAGCGCCACGTACACATCATGAAATCCTTAAAGTTGTTCTTATAACTTGTGAAATGTTAGTCTTTGGATTCCTTGAGTCCTGCTGAATGCATTTATAGCAATATTGCCAGATGTGGACAAACCGACCCATGCACCATTTTGAGACTTTGTTGTAAATATTGATATATTTTAAACACTTTGACTTATTGGCACAAAATTTGGTAGGGATCGTTGTCAGCATAACCTGAAGGTATGTGAGAAGTCAGAAGGCAGCATCACTTAGCGTTCCAAAGATATAGAGTTTTTCACCACAATGCTTATAACTTTTTGAAAATATCATCCATCATTTGTTTTCTTGGTGTTGTTATAATCCTTGGTTCTTGTATGGATTAATTCAGATAATTATGACTCTAATTTCCTATACCCCAATCATTACATAGCATAACTCTATAAGCTTGCATCGTCACAGTAAACTGTGTAAATGGACCTTACGAACTTTTAATCATTTGTTTTACACATCAATCAAATTCTTCACTTTCATACTCTGACTATCAAATACATCTACTGGGTTTACCTAACTAATCAATGACTTAACTTGTACTAAACTTAGCTGACTAGACACTGTTCACACTGAATAGCCAGCTAACAGATATAGACTAAATGCCACAAAATTCACATTTTAATACTGAAGGCCATGCTGGCTTTAAGAAATGTGGCATTTTAATGATACAATATCTGAACTGTAACTGTCAGTGAAATATGTTCCCTTTTAAAAATGTACATACTTTTAAAACATACTTGCTATTCCTTTTCATATACATATTCTAGATTTTGCTTTATGACAAGCCTAACAACAACAACAGCCCTTAACTGTGTTAAAATCACTGAAACGCATGGCCTCTCGTGGCTTTTTGCTTTAGTATAGAGTTGAGAACACAACCTTGAGCAGACACTTCATCTGTTAAAGATGGGATGTTCAGATTTTTAGCTTGAGTAATGACTGAGGAAAATGATAAATCCATATGTGAAGGAAGAGAGGAGTGTGCTGACTGCTGTCTTTTGTCCTGTAAAGGTAAGCGGAGAGGCTGGCAGGCATTGTTTTAAAGACAAAGATTGGAGTAGGGGGTGGGGTGGGACACTTGAGGAATGTGCTTTGTGCTCTTCCTCAAAATATAAAGGCTCCTGGAGCACACAGACACGCAACTAAGACAGACAATCATCGACCCCAAAAACTTCATGTAGCAACATATAATTTACTGAAGCATTCAGAAGAGCTTACCACAATAAGGACAATCATAATCTCTTATCCACTCTCCCGCCCTAATAATATGGACCCACCAAACAAACTATTTGACAATAGTTTCTAATGTATGCTTCCTGTTTCAGTTTCTTACAGATGAACAACTTGGATCCTAAAGGTTTCAAATGCAGCCTCAATTTTTTTTTTTATGTCAAAAAGGCTGTCAATATTTCAGAATCAAATACATTTATTTATTTATTTATATTCTGAAATAGGCAGCATTTTTGAGGCTGCATATGATTCTGACTTCAGAATCAAAATAAGAAAATAGCATATTTTTGTGACAACACCCTACCCTGAAATCTTATTACTGTGATAGAGAGATAAATATAAATACATACATACATACAGACCAGTAGTACTGTATTCATTGTACTACTTTTCATGCATGTCAATTTTAGTTCAATTATTGTGTCTGGACCAGAGATCGACCAATATTATTTTTTGCATTTGTTTGGTTATTATATACAAGTGTATGATAACTGGTAATCAGAATGTGTATTTTAAATGCTATTAAGGTTTACTTTTGATACATATGAATTGCATAACCATTGAAATATTTTATCAATACAACAGATGCATTATAAATGTTTGTTGTTGTTGTTCATATTTATTTAGATTTGTTTTAGGATACGTCTTGAAATGCTACTTGTTTGTCAGTTTAGAAAAACTAACAACTGATTGATCAGAAAAGTGCGAATATCTTTTGAGAGGTTAAACTAATTATTTGTGCATCTCTTGTTGGTACAGTGATTTTCATCCATTTACTCCATTTCAGTAATGAGAGTCTAAGGATAATTATCTTTGAGAACATATTATAGATAATTAGCTATGAGAATTAGAAACAAACTTACAAGTAAACCATCAAGGCGCATTACATTAATGAATTTCAGGGGGAAATGTTGGTAATTGTCATTAAAAGAATGTAAACAATCTTAATTGTTCTAAATTACTTTGCTTCTTTATGCAAAATATAATTTATTTTTCTCTTTTGATTTTGTGATTTTCATGAGATTCACCAAATACCACAGAGTGCCAGATGTGTTTGCAAAAACGGGATAAATAAACTTACAAAAACACAAGCAAGGAAGCTGCAACATGGGAGGGAAAAAAAAGAGAAGTCATAAGAAGATGGAAGGTTTAAGTCAAGGACATTTTCAAGGAGTCTTGGGAAAGAACTGGTTCTTTCTTCTGAAGGGATTGTGGACAAGAGATCCATTGGTGTAGAGACACAGACGGGGGAGGGGAACTCTAAGCCCCACTCCCAAATCTCACTCGCACCTCTGCCGAGCAGAGAAGGTCATTGTATCTTCAGGGAGGAATGCTTAAAACAAGAATGTCCAAGAAATCGGATCACCCCAAAACAATTATGGAAATATGCATCCATCAGGGGTGTGTGTGTGTGTGTGTGTGTGTGTGTGTGTGTGTGTGTGTGTGTG